CAAAACCCCAAGAAAGGTTAGTAAATCGACTCTAGAACCCCCTTTTCTGCAATTTTCCATTTTTCGGTTATTTTGTTTCCATTTTCAGAAGATATGGATCCTATAAATCGAAATATACACTATGAGGAAGGTTTCTATAACACTCCTCAAGCCACAAGACGCAGAGAAGAATACCAAGGCCGAAATCTTAGCTACATGGATCGATACAGCCAGCCAAACCACCCTTACCACCGGTGCAGAGAGACTGTTCGACGCTGGGAAGATCCTTATGGCCCTCCTCCAACCTACTTCGAGCCACACGCCTATAATCCTCCACTTCCGAACCCTAGTCAGCAAGAGGACAACTTGAGGATCAGCAGACGTTTGGGACGCCTCGAAGGGATGATAAACCAGTTCCTTGATCAGCAGATTCTCACCGAAAACACCCTGCTCAAGAAAATTGATTCAATCTCTGAAGAGTTCAACAAAAAATTCGATGATATGGCCAATCATGTTCGAGTTTTGGAAGAGCAAACCCACAAGGACTCATAAACACTAGCTGGGATGATCCACCAAGTCGTAACAGAGCAGACAAGACAAGGGTATGACATCATACAAAACTCAAGTGATATTGTTGAATCAAAACAGGAGATTAAAGAAGTCAGAGAATCCGCCTCCTGGTATAGAGAGAAGACATCGAGCACAGGCTGAACAAACTCGAGCTCAAAGCACGGGAGATTGATGCAAGAATGGAGCAGATGCCCAACATTGAGCAAATTGAGAGGTTTTCTAAGAAATCTCCCAAAGATCCTGATGAAGATGCACAACAATGCCCTGGTATGAGTTCATATGATGCTAGTCTACCCAATAAAGAAGCTGGAGAGGTCCGTATCAAGTACAAGAAGGAAGAGACGGACTATGAGCAGATTTCATCCGGAGCCGCGGGTCCAAGCTTTCCGACCGCGGCCAAAGCCCTGTTTCCCGCGGTCGCGACTCCTCTGACCGCGGGAATTGGTCGTTCAGATGTTCCTCCGGGTTTTGAGAAGAAAATAATACATCTCCTGACCCAACTTCAGCCTCCAGCACCTAAAAAAGCAACTCAGGAAGAAGAAAACCAAGTTTCTCGTGTCTGTCTATCTTGTCTAGAATTGGAATGTTTTCTAGAGGTCTGCGCCTGGTATTCATGCAATTCAGAGAAAAACAAAAGAAGGGAAAGATAATTCAGCAAAACTTTAAGAAAGAACTAGAGATCAGGTGTCTAGAACAGAAGTTGAAACAAGAAAAATAGCAAAAGGCAGCGAAAGAAATCCCGGCAATGGCGCCAAAAACTTGATGTCGTGTCAACTGCGTGAGGGAACAAGTTTTACCCTTAACAAAAACAAATGAAAGCCGCAAGTGCACAGCTAATCAGTTGTAGTATTTAGGGATCGAATCCACAGAGATTTGTGTGCCTGGTATTCTTCTACGGTTTTTAACTTTATGTCTAGACTAGATTGGTTTTAAAGGTTGGTTGTTTATCACGAATTAAACTAAAACTTAAAGAAAGCAAATAAATCTATCCTAGAAAGCAAGTAGAAAAATTGAATGGAAAGCAAGTAAAGCAAGTAAAATATCGAACTAAGGCAATTGAAATGCAGATCTAAATAAACAAGTAAAAATCGATTGGTTTGTAAACTATGGCTAAAAACGCTGAGCTTTCGGGAACTCTAAGGGATCATAATCGGTTTTTAACACTAAGGTAGATAGATTGGGATTGACGGATATCGATATATAGGTTTCTAGAGCTAGAGTACGGCTGTATGACTACGTCACTGTCGTAATCATAACCAACTGTTTCTCGCAACCCTGACCAGTAGGTTTCCACTCTGGCCCTGGAAGGGAGAGAACGCAAGAGCTGCACAAGACTCGTCAATACTCACGATCTTGCCGCAGGTAGGTTTCCACTCCTACGGAAAAATCGACTGTTTCATTCTAGGGCTGATACTTAATGAAAACTTTCGCAACACTAACTATCTAGATCAGATACTAGGTGATCAATCAAGCATACATGCAATAAGAACAAGAATAAACAGAGAACAAAGTTGAAATCCCAGATCTATAAACCTAGATGTCTTAATCGATTATGAGAGCCCCTTTCGGGAACCCTAAGCCCAACTCGGGATCTACTCAGACATGGCTGAGATCGACATCATCATTGGTTTTAATAAAAGTAATCAAAAACCGTAAAGAAAAGAGATGAAGAAAGCTTTTCTATTGAAGAACCCGGACTTGAACAATCTTCTACAAAAATCGCATAAAAACGGGTAAAGGAAAAAGGGTTTCTGTAAAGTATGAAGGGTTCTCTAAAACGACCTAAATGACAAGTATTTGTAGTCTTCAATACTCCATAGTCTCTAGGGTTCCGGAATTGAGGCTGAGAATGACTTTGGGCTTCAGAAATATGGGCTTTAGTTCGGAGTTTGACGGCCGCGGTCGGGAGTGACGTGACCGCGGGGAATAGGTGGTTGGCCGCGGTCGGGAGGCTTATGACCGCGGGAAATGGGCTGTTGGCCGCGCTCGCGTGACTTGCTGGCCGTCTTCGAGTGGCTCCAGGGCTAATGGAATATCTTTAGATCCAACCGTTGGAATGTCTCCAAACCAAGTGCATTTGAAAGCTGGTTGATTCTTCTATAAGTTGTCCAATTTTGAGGGTGATCAGACGGTGAGAAGGTCTTCGTCTCTCCATGAGAGTTCTGACGGTCTGCATTTATCCAAAAGAGTCTTTTTGTTCCAATTTGTGCCTTTTTATCCCAAATTACCTGAAAAGTCTTTTAAAATCCGAAAACATAGAAATCATTTGAAAACCTTTGGAAATGGAGTAAAAACACCTGTAAAAGATATTAAAGTGATCCATAAAAATGGTTAAAATCCGGTGTTATCAGCATCGGACATTAAAACTCCCCGGACAGGTGATCTTTCGGACGTATCGGATTGCTTCGGAATGTATGCAAGACATGTTTGTCTTTCGGTGGCCGTTTCTTTCAGCTCGCTGCTCCAAATTTATCGATTCCAACTGTTATGAAATCTGGACTCACTTATCTTGATCTTTGCTAAAGATCCCGGATGGAAAGACCTTCCGGTAACACGTTTTCGGAGATGTATCTGCACCCAAGAATTTTGGCCGAGAAACTTGAACAGCCAGTACATGTTTTGGCCGAGATATCCACCCGCGGTACATGAAAATCGCCGAGAAAAGCTTCCCGCGGTACTTTAAAATCTCTGAGAACCTCCAAATGGATGTTTTCACCATTTTTAAAGCTCCATTTACCATTTCTTCTCTTGGCTTCATCTTTTCAGGTCCAAACTGGTTCCAAATCACCTGTAAACACTCCAAAACAGGCAAGACTCACTTGACCTAATGCAAAGCCCTAAAACTCTAAAACAAGTGTAAAACATGATGAATCTATCTAAAATGTATGAATGAGACTCTAAACTTGGACTAAAAATGCAATCCTAAACATGAAAATTATGAATATAACAACTCCCCCAGACTTGTCCGTTGCTTGTCCCGAAGCAAAATGATCAAATGAGAGAAAGAGGTTGAATGCATTGGGAGTTCATATTCCTTAATGAGAGAGTGTATCACTAAAAGAGTTCAAGGCTCATTGTCTAGTTGCTAATTTTAAGATGCAGTGCAAACAAGATTACTCACAAAACTTTTGCCATACTCATCAAAAAATGAATCAAGCTCAAGCTTAAGTTTTCACAAACAGCCATAGTTCCAACCTTTTGAAATTCATTAAAGTTCATGTGAATCATGCTTATGCAAATCATGTGAACTCACTTGTCTTGGGACAGGGTGATATGATCTTGGATAGCATCAACGAAGAGTTGACACCAGAAGGAGAGCCGCAAGGAGCTAAGGAGCTGAGGAGCAAAGACAAGGATCAAGGAATGGAACAAGAAGACCCTTTGCTTATTACAAAAGGTCTCATGACCCGAGCAAAGACTAAGAAGCTCAAGGAAGCTGTTGGAGAGATACTTAAGCAAGGAACGCTTACGGAACGTAAGGGAAAAGAGATGGGTACAACTACACTAGTTGTGATCCAAGTCCACGAAAGCTAATGGGCTTGTGATCCAACTATGTACTCTTTTTCCCTATCTCAAGTTTTGTCCCAATGGGTTTTCTTGAGCTAGGTTTTTAATGAGGCATAGTTTGGATCACCTCACACCTAAGCCCATCAGCCGAGTCCAAGGAAAGAAGAAGAGGAGCGTGTGAAGAAGAGTGTGAATTCAAACTTGGCCAGCTTTCAAAGGACTAGTTCCTAGACACTTTAATGCTTTGTAGACTCGCCTGTTCTTCTCTTTATATTCTCTTGTAAACTCTCTTTTGAGACTATCTTATCTTTTAATCAAAAATCTATCTAAGTAAGATCAAACCCTCTTGTTGGTGTGTAATATCCTTCAAGGCCTTTCGATTCATCTTTGGTGTGTAATATCCTCAGTTGATTCGGAATCCATTCATCAAGGGTCTTTCGCAACCCTTGGAGTCTTATCTAAACCCACAAACCTTGATACAACTCGTTTGTGTGCAAGGCTATCCCCTTTGTTCCAGTTTAGTGAGTGTCGATTTCAGGGAGAATCATATTAAGTGGTATCAGAGCAAGCACTCAAACCGCTGGATCGTCGGAAACATCAGGTTGTATCTTTTCCTTGTTGTTTTTTGATTATTTTTGTGTTTTACAAGTTTGATCATCATCACCATTTAATCGAATCTGTTACTTGTGTATCACTGCATCGAATTTACTTAGATTCATTAAGCGAGATCAATTATCTGAGATCTAGTTGCTATTTTACAACAAATTGGGATTGATCTAAGTGACCTTTTAACTTCTAGTTCGGATCTGTATTTTGCAAATCTGACTTTTCGAATTCAAACTATCGACCATGATTTCTTGTGGAACACGAATAGTCGCTTTTGTTTTGTGAAACGATCAAAGACTTGTTGCTGGTGATTCCCTGTTATCTGTGTTTCAAGAACAATGAGTAAGCAACAAGAAGAGTCCAGTGCTAATGGTGTTAACAAGCTATACATGGAAGCAATGTTGGCCAAAGTTAAGAAGATTGTGACTGTGAGCCTCGAGGAGTATCGACAGGAGATTCAAGAGCAGACCAAACCAAAGGCTAACAAAGATAAGAGAAGGGATCTAGGGAAAGATCCTGAGGAAGCTTTGGAGCCGACTAGACCTCTCAGAGATGATGCGGCCACAGATTATTACGGTCTTCTTAGTAGTTCCTCAAGAGACAGCCAGAGAAGGCATAGGCGACACAAGGAAGATCGAGTTCAAGAAGGTTTTGGAGGAGTTAAACTCAGGATCCCTCCTTTTCACGGCAAAAACGACCGTGATGCCTACTTAGAGTGGGAAAAGAAGATAGAATTGTTGTTTAATTGCCAACAATTCACCAGGATTAATCGAATGAAGATAGCCACTACCGAGTTCTACGATTATGCTTTTTGTTGGTGGGATCAGGTTGTTACAACTAGAAGAAGAAATCAGCAATTTCCGAGTGATACTTGGGAGGAGATGAAATCTCTCATGAGGAAAAGGTTTGTGCCGTGTCACTACCATAGAGAGTTGCATCAAAGACATAGGCGGCTCACACAAGGCCACCGATCCGTTGAAGAATACTATCAAGCCATGGAGACCTTGATGCTACGAGCTGATATCCGAGAAGATGCTGAAGCCACTATGTCTCGTTTCTTAGGAGGATTGAACAGAGAGATTCAAGACAAGCTTGAGATGCAACAATATGAGGAATTAGAGGATATGTTGCACAAAGCCATCCTCATAGAAAACCAGCTTAAGAGGAGAAACACCAAAACCGCTTATGGAGCTGGGACAATGCCTACTAAACCGAGATATTCTAGAGAGGAGAAACCGAGCTCGGTATCAAAAGAAGAGAAGCCAACTGGTGTCTCTAAAGAAGAACCTAAGTCATTCACTTCGGTATCAGATAACCGAAACAAAGCTATGGGGTCGACAAGAACCAGAGACGTCAAGTGTTTCAAGTGTCTTGGGAGAGGACATTACGCAAATGAGTGTTCAAATAAGAAGATCATGATACTCAGGGATGATGGTGAATGCGAATCAACAGCTGAATCTGAAGCCGAGTCTCATTCTGATCATGAAGAGCTTCCGGCTCAAGGTTCCTTACTTGTATCAAGAAGGTCTCTAAGCGTGCAAGCCAAAGCTATGGAAGAGGAGCAGAGAGATAATTTATTTCATAGCCGATGCCTTGTGCAAGGGAAATTTTGTAGCCTCATCATAGATGGAGGTAGCTGCACCAACGTAGCAAGTCAAGAGATGGTCTAAAAGCTCAACCTAGCCACCGAGAAGCACCCCCGACCCTATAAGCTCAACTGGTTGAATAATGATGGGGAATTAAAGGTCAACAGCCAAGTCATGGTCCCTATTACCTTTGGAGGATATGAAGACGAGATACAGTGTGATGTGTTGCCCATGGACGCAGGACAAATACTTCTAGGCAGGCCATGGCAATCGGATCGAAAAGTTATTCATGATGGGTTTACTAACAAGTATTCCTTTGTTTTTAAAGGCAGGAAGACTACCCTCATACCTTTGACGCCACAAGAAGTCTACCAGGATCAAATGCAGCTAAAGCAAAAGACAAAGCCGTCTACTAAAGCATCTAACTTCTACTTGAGGGCTGGTGATGTCAAAAGATCTCTTAGTTCTAACCAACCGGTTCTTTTATTTGTGTTTAAGGAGGCTCTCACCAATATGACTAACCTCACACCGGTTTTGCCGAGTAAAATTCAAACTCTTTTGCAGGAATACAATGATGTCTTCCCTGAAGATAATCCTAAAGAGTTACCTCCTTTTAGAGGCATTGAACATCAGATTGATTTCATGCCTGGTGCTTCATTGCCTAGTCGCCCTGCTTATAGAACCAATCCGGTTGAGACAAAAGAGTTACAAAGACAAGTCGATGAACTAATGGAGAAAGAACACATAAGAGAAAGTATGAGTCTTTGTGCAGTACCGGTTCTGCTTGTGCCCAAGAAGGATGGGAGCTAGCGAATGTGTGTAGATTGCAGAGCCATCAACAATATCACTGTAAAGTATTGCCACCCTATCCCTAGACTCGATGATATGTTAGATGAGTTGCATGGTTCTAACATATTCTCTAAGATTGATCTTAAAAGTGGATATCATCAGATTAGAATGAAAGAAGGAGATGAGTGGAAAACTGCATTTAAGACTAAACATGGTTTATATGAATGGCTTGTTATGCCATTTGGATTAACTAATGCACCTAGTACATTCATGAGGTTGATGAATCATGTCCTTAGAGCATTTAGAGGGGTCTTTGTAGTTGTCTATTTCGACGATATCCTTGTCTATAGCAAGAAAATAGATGAGCATGTAATGCACTTGAGAGCTGTTCTTATGAGCTAAGAAAGGAAAAACTATATGCCAATCTAAAGAAATGCACATTTGGAACAGATAACCTTGTCTTTTTAGGTTTTGTTGTGAGTGTAGATGGCGTTAAGGTGGATGAAGAGAAAATCAAGGCCATCAAAGACTGGCCAACCCCTAAGACTGTCGGTGAAGTTAGGAGTTTCCATGGCCTGGCCGGGTTCTATAGGAGATTCGTCAGAGATTTCAGCACTATAGCCGCCCCTCTTACAGAAGTTATCAAAAAAGATGTGGGATTTCAATGGGGGAGAAGCTCAAGAAGCCGCGTTCAAAGCTTAGAAGCATAAGCTTACTAATGCACCTCTATTATCTTTACCTGATTTCCCTAAAACTTTTGAAATAGAATGTGATGCTTCAGGTATAGGAATCAGAGCTGTGCTGATGCAGGACAAGATACTGATTGCTTTCTTTAGTGAAAAGCTTGGAGGAGCCACTCTCAATTACCCAACCTACGACAAAGAGCTATACCCTTTGGCCAGGGCTTTACAAATGTGGCAACATTACTTGTGGCCCAAGGAGTTTGTCATTCATACCGATCATGAATCCCTCAAGCATCTTAAAGGACAGCAAAAGCTTAATAAGATACACGTGAGGTGGGTTGAGTTCATTGAGACATTTCCCTATGTCATCAAATTCAAGAAAGGTAAGGACAATGTAGTTGCCGATGCATGTCTCGAAGGTACACTCTACTCTCTACTCTTGATGCTAAGCTTTTTGGTTTTGAACAACTTAAACTTCTGTACTCATCTGATTCGGATTTTCAAAACGTTTATGAGTCTTGTGCTAAGTTTGCTTCGGGTTATTATCATAGACAAGAGGGATTTCTTTTCTTTCATAATCGATTGTGTATCCCTAATTGTTCTATTCGAGACTTGTTAGTCAGGGAAGCTCATGGAGGTGGACTTATGGGTCATTTTGGTATAGCCAAAACCTTGAAAGTATTACAAGATCATTTTCATTGGCCTCACATGAAGTGAGACGTTGAGCGAGTTTGCTCAAGATGTGCAACCTGTAAGCAAGCTAAAGCTAAGGTTCCGTCCAACGGTTTGTATACACCTTTACCTATTCCTTATCACCCTTGGACTGATATATCAATGGATTTCGTGCTTGGATTGCCTAGAACTAGGACTGGAAAGGATTCGATCTTTGTTGTAGTTGATAGGTTTTCTAAGATGGCGCATTTCATCGCGTGTAACAAGACTGATGATGCATCGCATGTAGCTAATCTGTTCAATAGGGACATTGTTCGAATACATGGCATGCCTAGGACCATAGTATCTGATCGTGATACAAAGTTCTTAAGCTATTTTTGGAAAACTTTATGTTCTAAGCTAGGTACAAAGCTCTTGTTTTCTACTACTTGTCACCCACAGACTGATGGGCAAATTGAAGTAGTGAATAGAACATTGTCTACATTGTTGCGAGCATTGATCAAAAAGAATCCTAAAGCATGGGAAGACTGTTTGCCTCATGTAGAATTCGCATATAACTATTCAGTGCATTCGGCTACTAAGTTTTCCCCTTTTGAAATTGTTTATGGTTTTAACCCTTTGTCGCCTTTGGATGTAACCTCTCTTCCTTTGAGTGAAAGAACTAGCCTAGATGGAAAGAAAAGAGCAGAGCTTGTTAAACAGATCCACGAGAAGGCCAGAGCTAACATAGAGGAGAAAAAAAGCAATATGTCAAGCACGCTAACAAAAACCGACGCAAGCTTACCTTTGAGGAGGGAGATCTCGTTTGGGTGCACCTAACGAAGGAGAGATTTCCAGCAGAAAGGAAGTCTAAGCTGATGCCGAGAGTTGATGGACCCTTTGAGATAATTAGAAAGATCAATGATAACGCTTATCAACTTGATCTACAAGGTAAGTACAAGATAAGTTCTTCTTTCAATATTGCTGACTTGATTCCTTATTTTGCAGATGATCCAGATTTGAGGACAAATCCTTTTCAAGAAAGGGGGGATGATATGATCTTGGATAGCATCAATGAAGAGTTGGAACCAGAAGGAGAGCCGCAAGGAGCTGAGGAGCAAAGACAAGGATCAAGGAATGGAACAAGAAGACCCTTTGCTCATTACAAAAGGTCCCATGACCCGAGCAAAGACTAAGAAGCTCAAGGAAGTTGTTGGAGAGATACTTAAGCAAGGAACGCTTATGGAACATAAGGGAAAAGAGATGGGTACAACTACACTAGTTGTGATCCAAGTCCGAGAAAGCTAATGGGCTTGTGATCCAACTATGTACTCTTTTTCCCTATCTCAAGTTTTGTCCCAATGGATTTTCTTGAGATAGGTTTTTAATGAGGCATAGTTTGGATCACCTCACACCTAAGCTCATCAGCCGAGTCCAAGGAAAGAAAAAGAGGAGCGTGTGAAGAAGAGTTTGAATTCAAACTTGGCCAGCTTTCAAAGAACTAGTTCCTAGACACTTTAATGCTTTGTAGACTCGCCTGTTCTTTTCTTTATATTCTCTTGTAAACTCTCTTTTGAGACTATCTTATCTTTTAATCAAAAATCTTTTCTAAGTAAGATCAAACCCTCTTGTTGGTGTGTAATATCCTTCAAGGCCTTTCGATTCATCTTTGGTGTGTAATATCCTTAGTTGATTCGGAATCCATTCATCAAGGGTCTTCCGCAACCCTTGGAGTCTTATCTAAACCCACAAACCTTGATACAACTCGTTTGTGTGCATGGCTATCCCCTTTGTTCCAGTTTATTGAGTGTCGATTTCAGGGAGAATCATATTACAGGGTTATGAGACAAAGATGATCTCATTCAATGCTTATGGTTTCAATGCAGCTCAAGAGATCACTCAAGAAGGAATAAACTTTAACAGAAAGCTAAGGGTAAAAGGCATCTGATGCATAAAAGAGTAGAATCCCATCTACCTAATGCCCCAAGTTGGTCTTTCACCTTATGATATGATATTGAAAACGCTCAAGAAGACATATCTGCCTTGTTCTACACTGCTGGGGTCTAAGCTCAACTCGTACAGCTCAAAGACCACTTAGATTACGTTCTCACTTCATCTGGAGCCCGTCTTGAAGAATAATCAGTCCAATCCGAGTTCAGATGAAGAAGTTATTGAGTTTTCAAATCAGGTGAACTCGAGGTTACACAATTTGGACCTACACACGTTCAATGGAGGATTTCAACCAATCCAGAAGGAACTATTTTATGGTCCGACTTGTTATGGAATCTTGATTCATCACAGAAGCATGAAGAGTTGGAATCACTTCAAAAAGAGTTACAACACAGTGGATCTGCTTCAGACCCAGTTCCGCGTCCGATCCAAAGATTTAGGTCCAGAGCCCAACTCAGAAACGATCTGGACATGAAACCAATTGGAGAATCTTAAAGGATCTGTTCTGGTTCCAACAAGCCCAAGATAAGAAGAAATTGCCATCGGATCTCAGAGATACACCTCATTTTCCTAAATGGGTCAACATGGTTCTATACTTGATGATTTCTAGGCCTGATTGGTTTGAGAGCTTGCAGGCTTACGTTTGGCATCCAGGAGGATTTTCTACTAAGCCCAATATGAAGACATGACTCAGCCCATCTTGTTTCTGATCATCAAAATTCATTCAAAGGAGTTAAAGAGACAAGAAGCTCAAGGGTTATTCAAAGAACATCAAGAGTCATTCAATTATTAGTTAATGTTTGTCTTTAATTTTAGTCTAAGTAATAATTCCGAGATTGCCTTGTTTTCTTCACATTTATACTCTATATAATCATGTAATCTCTAAGAGAAATAATCAGATTATCTTTTTATCAAACTTCTTCTTTGAGAATGATTCTCACCTCTTTGTTCCTTATGAACATTTTCTGATCATTTGGAGGTTATCCTTTGATCATCTCACGGTGAGTCATATCCGTGGTTCGATTGTTGGTGAGTCATATCCATCAATCACAATTCGATCTGTTTGGTGAGTCATATCCAGACGATCACAAACTTGAATTTTCTTGGTGTGTCATATCCAAGGAGCCATTTCGGTTAATCAGGAGCCAGACAAATATCACATCCGAGATAGTTATTTGTCTCAAGAAAACCAAAGAAGACATAGGTGTGAAAGAGGAGGCCGAGATCATTATCATGACAACCCTGGAGATCTCTATCTTTAAATTCCATCATTCGTTGGTAAAATTTTTGATCTAGACAGGTACTTGAAGTGGGAGAGAAGAATGGAACATATTTTCAAATCCCATCCACTTTCAGAGTACATCAAGGTGCAAGTTGCGGCTACTGGATTTTGTGAGCATGCACTTTATTGGTGGTGTCTATTGAAAACCAAAAGGAGGCGTAATGGAGAGTATCCAGTGGAGACTTGGGCAGAGATGAAAGCAGTTATGAGAGAGAGGTTCATTCCCAGCCATCACCAGCGTGAGCTAAATCAGAAGCTAAGGTGTTCTTCTCAGCCAAGCTATGAAGCTAGATCATCTGATGCCAGACCAAGTTATAACAGGTTTAAGGATCTTTCTAAGGCGTGCATTAACTCAGCAAATCTACACAAGGTGGTCCAAGTAAAGAAATCCAAACAGAGCTTTGTAGAAGCTAGACCCAAAGATTTGTTCATCAATTCAACCGAGGCCACTACTC